TTATTTTAGGAGCCTCCTCGTGGCTCCACGGCCGCCTGCCTTGCCCAGTGCTTCCGTGCTTACGACAGGTAACTTTGATCCCCCATGTTAAACTTCTTTGGCTCAATTCTTTTCTTGTCCATTTGACATTTATAAGCCTCTCTAGTAGCAGTAAGTGCTTTACGTACAACTGTTTTGTAACTGGCTATCCAGTCTTTCAGTGAGGAGATCACTGGATCCTTGGTAAGTAACTCGGGCATAGGCTTGAAGTCCTCACTGGCTGCAATTCCGAAAAGGGTTAAATTAGTACTACTATAAACAGACTTGTTTTAAGCCACTTCTGCAAATTGTAAAAGGTCTGTCCAGTTGTCTTGTTGATAGTTGAAGGACCTATGGTACTGTTCACTCGTTCACATCACCTATTCATTTCCGGATGGTGACTAAAACTAAGTCCCTGATCAGTACCTAATCAATTCAAAAAGCCCGCCAAAGCCTTTTTCAATTCAGAGGTAAATTGAACCCCTCTATCTGATATATGATACATTGGGGTGCTCCATGTAGCCAGTAGATGTGATGTAAAAACAGCTTAGTGAGTCCCTGCACCGTGGCTATTCTTTGGCATGGGGCAAAGTGCACTTGTTTTGAAAATAGGTCTGTCACCACCGAGATTACTGTATTCCCCATGCTTTTGGGGAGTTATATGATAAAGTCCATAGTCATCTCTCTCCAGTGCTGAGGGCTCCGCCACAATCTGAAGCAGTCCCTGTGCTTTACCCTTTCTCTGCTTAACAGATGCACACACAGGGCAACTGGACACCGTCAACCCTGGAGCCACCTTTGAACATCTTCAGAGTTGCCACAGCAAGGCTGGCTGGAGCTGTGGGAAAGGGAGGGGGGAGTAGAGATAGCTGGGGTAATATGTAGCCAAAATAACATTCTTTCTTCTGGGAACCAAGGGCACTCTCACTCTGGAAGGGCATAGATGGGAGGCATCTGGGATGGAGAGACTTGATTGGGGTATGTGATGGTTGAGTGCGATGGGGGTGCGGGGGAGAGAGATCTTTGGATTTTGAACTGGGTGGGGAAATCCCAGGGGACTTCAGATTTGAGTTTTCACCAGGTATGTCATACGACATGCCTAATAAATCTATACATTGATGAACCCTGCCTGGAGTTTTGATTTCCTATGGGCTGTTACTTGGAACCCTGACAGACACAGAGCTTTCAATATCTTTTTTAAAGGAGGGCCACCAGAATTGTCATTTTATCAGATGCAATGTCTTTACAAATTCAAAATGTCCTGCCACTTTCGAATCATGGCATGTCTTCATAATCAGGAGCCTTTGGCTAGTTGGCACATACAGTTTTGCTCCCACCCAAGCCAGTGGCAGGGGCTCAGTGGCTAAGACACTGAGTTTGTCGATCAGAAGTTCGGCAGTTCAGCGATTTGAATCCCTAGTGCCACGTAACGGAGTGAGTTCCCGTTACTTGTCCCAGCTTCTGTCAACCTAGCAGTTCAAAAGCATGTAAAAATGCAAGTAGAAAAATAGGGACCACCTTTGGTGGGAAGATACCAGCGTTCCGTGTGCCTTTGGTGTTTAGTTATGTCGACCACATGACCACAGAGATGTCTTCGGGCAGTGCTGGCTCTTCAGCTTTGAAACGGAGATGAACACTGTGCCCTAGAGTTGGGAATGCCTAGCACATGTGTACGAGGGGTAGCTTTACTAATACCTTTATCTTTAAGCCAGTTCATCCTGAATGGAGCAGCTATTACCATGGTTACAGAACCATTCATCATCTGTTAGCGCTGTTTTTTAGGGCAAAGGCCTCATCGCTGCTGGTACCTTTCTTTCTCCTCTGCTCTGGTGGTTACTTGGGATGGCAGTGACACAATGGGAACACTGGTTAGAATATTTCTGTTTTGGAGCAATTGTATTATGGCATCCATGATAGGGCATCAGCTAGAAAATCCTGAAAGTGTTGCACTCAACATGCTTGTTTAGGGGAAAGATTATGAGAAGTTTTCAACGCTTCCAGGTTTTCATGATCAGTCCATACCTGGAAAGGGAGTTTGCTCCCTTCTAAAAAGTGTTTCTAGGAAAGGAGTGTCCATCTTACAGCATAAGCCTCCTTCTCCCATATAGCCCAATGCTCCTCAGGTTCCAAAAGTTTCTTCCCAATTCAAACCTCCCCCTCTTTCAAGTCCACCGGCAGCCAATACAATGCTGTCTAAGTGTTTTGAGAACTCCGAGGAGTTAGCTTGAAGGCAGTGTATCCCCAGGATGCAGTAATGGTGTCAGGCTAGAACCTGCTGGAAGGAAGGCCATCTGTCTTCAGGATAGCCCCACCTCCCTAAATGCCATGTGGTTACAGTAAAAGCGAAAGCATGCAGAGAATGCAATCCCAATAGCCTCCTCCCCCCTCCTCCAACAGAATGGCAGAGTCCTAGCAGAGGACCTCTCAAGAACTTTAAATGTTCTCACTGTCGAGAAATTTCTGCTTAGTTTATTGGATTTCTTTTTAAGGAGCTTCACATGCTTCTGATCCTACTCTCAGGTACTTTGACAGTCCTCTGTGACAGTCATTCAATTACTTGAAAACAGGTATTCCCCCCCCCCCCAAATCCTTCTCTTTGCTATGCTAGACCAGAGGTGTCAAAATCAATTTCACTGAGGGCCACATCAGGGTTGTGTTTGGACTTGGCGGGATGGGGTGGGTATGGCCAGCTCAATGTCACTCGTGTCGGGGCACCTGTTGTGGCCTGAGCTCTCTTCCAGTGAAATTGGAAGTCTTTTACTATTTCCAGGGTAGCTCTGCAGGCCACATCTAAGCACCCCATGGGCCAGATCAGGCTCCTAGGCCTTGAGTTTGACACCCCTGGGCTAGACATATCCGGTTCCCTTAACCGTTCATTTCATGATTTAGCTTTGTAGCTCTTCTCTGAACTCTTTCTATGGTTTTAACATCTTTTTTGTATCTTATGGCTAGAATTGGATGCAGTATTCCAAGTGTAGCCTCACTAGTGCGGTATAAAATGGTGGTATCATTTCTCATGATTTTGATGCTATCTCACTGTTGATGCAGCCTTGGTCGTTTTTTGCAGCTGCAACCCACTGCTGGCTCATACTAAATCCCTCTCAGTTATATATAACACATATAATATTTGCTCTTCAACAATTCCATCATTCTGTATCACAAGCACATCATTAGGGAAAAAATGCTTACTGTGTTAAAGAACAAACTTCTAGATTGCTATCTACTATTGTGTCACTTGAGTTTATAGATGTACAGTTTTTTCAGCTGTTAACATAAAATTGGAGATATTACACTTGATCTTAGTCAAAAGGCTGAGAAATTATATGGGAGAAGAGATAGCACTTTTTTCACGGGCAACAACGGAAAATAGGAAGACAATAAGTTGATATGGGTTAAGCTGACTGGCTAAAGGCGAAGGAATGAGAAGGCTAGAAAAGCATTTCCAGCAGAACTTGGCTCCTTCCTTGTAGCTTATCTTTTGGTCTGCTATAGATCTCAGTTTTATACGTGGAATGCTTTCTAAGTCAGAAGAAACTTCCCTGGGAAAGGGGAAGCTCTGGAAATCAACCCTTCTGCACCCCTGGATAGCTGGACACTCTCAGAGTGCTTCTTCAAGAAGAAGTAATCCGATGATTCTCTGGCTGGGGGCGGGGTAACCAAGAAGCAAGTTCACTGTGGAAGAACCAGCTGTTTAAAACAGACAATAAAGTGTGCCACCAGTTCTTAGACACTATCTTTTTGCATATTTACTTTTCCTGTCAAAAGAGGCTTCCTCTGACTGCAGAGTGCTTTTTCATTTTTGTTGAACTATCATCATTTTGAAGCTCTGTAACTTTAAGATGGCAAGGAGGGGAGGAGTTGGTGTATCCGAGGCAAAATAAAAAAAGCTGGAAATCACTGTGGAAACTACTCTTGAAATTTTTGGATTTAAATATTTTAGAGGACTTTATATCTTTAATTGACTCTGCGGAACTTTTTTAAAAGGACTGTTTAAATCATGTTTTGATATTGATATGAGGAGGGGAAGAAACAGTTCCGATTTTATTTGCTTTTGATTGGACTAGTTGTGTGAGGCAGAGATTAAGTTCTTTTTTTGCAGCTTATAATACAGTGGTGTTGTTTTACCACAAGAGGGAGCCAAAAGCCTGTAATATTGGTAATCCTTTTTAACTCTTCAGTAGCATCATATAACCCATTGATTTCATGTTATAAATTTACAAGTCTAAAACTCAACTTTAAAATCTAAGCTCTAGTTACACTGTGATGGCATGGCTACATGTTAGATGATGGAGAAAATTGGGGGGGGGGAGAGAAAAGAAGAAAAGAAGGTGATAACTGGAGAACCAAGATGGATTATAGGCAGCACTGGCTGCTAAAGCCTTGTTAGTTCCAGAAGAAATTAGGGTCAAGACAAGAAATAGAAGCAGATGAAATCAGAAAATTGCCAAAGTAGGAATGGAGAGGGGACAAAAAGAGGTATATCTTCCTCATGTGATGGCTATCATGAGGCTAGAGAAAACTACATCTTACCAGTATATGAGAGATTGCTAGCCAATATAAATGAACAGAGCATAGAATAACAAATTTGGAAGGGACTTTGGAGGTCTTCTAATCCAACCCTATGCATATTTAATGCTATTCCTTGGATTTAAATGGAGAGGGAATGTACACCAGGGATGTGCAGTCAGGGGAGGCAGGGCCTCACCNTTTTTATTATTATTATATCATTAAAGATGCAATATAGTAGTGTAGCTATATGACTTGTATAATTAGACAAAAATGTATCTAATGTTGATAAACGAATACAAATAAGTTAGGAAATGTAGATACAGCATATTCAATGTATTCTGAAAGCAGGTTGTTAATATGTCATTTTAACAACTTTTGTATTTATGATTAAGAGCACTTTTGCAGCTAAACATTTTCGAAAAAACAGCTCTCATTTAACACTATGACAATCATATACAGACTCTCACACCCACCTCTATGACCTCGTGTGTTCTTCACGACCATAGGGAACTCCAACACTTCTGCTTCATCAATCATTTTGGCAAAGTTTTCATGACCCCCTAGAAAAAAAATAGCCAAAGCTGTAAAAAGGGATACACACAAATGTGAGTTTTGGATATTTTCTTGTGGTTACAATGCAAAATGCTGTGATTCTAGACCAGTGGTGTCAAACTGGCGGCCTGCAGGCCGGATAAGTCAAGTACAGGTCACATCCATCCAAGTTCCATGAAGGGAAAAAAACATCATGATACGTCATGTGACAGCAACTTGACGCAGCTGAAGCCCGTATTCTAGACAGAAAAAAGCATATTACTCTTGAATATTCTCAGGTTACTTTCTAATATTTTCAAAAGTTTATATTAAGGGGTAAACAAGGGTGAAATCTACACATGAATTATGGCATACTTTTAATTGTGTCCTGGATAAAAATAATTTCCTATAAATATAAAATTAGTAAAGGTAAAGGTCCCCCTCGCACATATGTTCTAGTCGGTCCCAACTCTAGGGGGCAGTGCTCATCTCCGTTTCAAAGCCAAAGAGCCAGCGCTGCCCAAAGTCGTCTCCATGGTCATGTGGCTGGCATGAATAAGTGCTGAATGCACATGGAAAGCTGTTACCTTCCTACCAAAGTTGGTTCCTATTTTTCTACTTGCATTTTTGTGTTTTCGAAATGCTAGGTTGGCAGAAGCTGGGACAAGTAACGGGAGCTCACTCCGTTACACGGCGCTAGGNCCAGCCATAAACCTCACCGCACGTCACTGATGTACACATACACACAAACACATGACAAACTCTCAGTTGCAGGGGCTGCTTGTGCTAAAACTAAATTACTAGGGATCTGTATGTTGGATTATTTCCTGTCAACACAAAATCTGATGATGCACTTAATATTAGTTTCAGTTAATATTTCACAAGTGCGTAATAATTGTAGAGTTTTTCTTGGCTTACCATAAGAAAAGGTGTCTGGAAGAGGCACACCGTGACCAGCCAATTCTTGGAATGTCCAGAACTTGTTGACACAATTAAGTATGGCTTGTGGACGGTTCATTAGCCGGCAGCCCATCTTCTCCAGATGGCGAAGGACTGTAATATCACTATCACTCTGCACCCATGGGGTTGGTACACGAACCACTACTACTTGCGGGTAAGCAGTGATGAGTTCCCCACTGACCCGAAGACCTGCAGAAAAGAGTAACAAAAAGATGCAAATTTGATTAAAATCATAGTTAATAAAGAAAAAGCACTATATTTAATATATTAGAATGGTATATCCAGCCCCTTTAACTTTTGGGAAATGACACATAGATGTTACACTATATCATGCCCCATTGCATTAGGTTTTACATGATTTTCACACAAACACCAAAGGTCCTGGTGGTCTGCATAAATAAAAACACTATAAATTATGTACTATGTATACTACAGTATAGATCAGCAGTCCCAATCTTTCTGGCACCAGTCTCAGAAGAAACATTGTCTTTCACAGACCAGGGGTGAGTGGTATGGTTTTGTACACAACCTAGATCCCATGCATGCAGCTGAAGCTTCACTTGCTCGTCTGCCATTTGCGCAGCCCAGTTCCTAACAGGCCATGGACTAATACTGGTACCAGGGATTGGGGACCCCACAGTATCTACTGCACTTAGTATATAAAGTATACATACACACACACTATATCCTCTCTCTGTGTGTCTTGAATGAATTAAAACACAAGCCAGTTATACGACACTGGGACTCTTTAAAAAACATAACTTAGAACTGCTCTGTTTTCTTCCAAGCTCAGAACAACATTTTCAAGTACAGTGTGTTCTTTTCTGAGTCTGGTATCTTTGAAATGGCAATTTTCAATTTTGAACATTTTGAACTTTGAATTATCTATATACTGATATTTGGGGAATTTTCTGTTATTCAGTAGTAAATATTGTATCTGAACATGAGCCCCTGACTTTTTATTACTTCTTTTCCTTTTTAAGAAATGGTATTTTGTTGAATTGTGTTGTGTAGTCCTTGGTGCTCTCTGAACTTTAGTTTGCTTTTATTACTCAACCATATAACATCTTCAGCATTCAACTGAATTTTATTGTATTCTTCAGTTGCTGTATTATGGTTAAGGTGGTCATACCCTCCAGGCCTTTTTTTTTTGCCTTTTTAAAGTTTGAATACTAGCTTAATATTTTATACATTCCCCTTAATATGTAGACAATTAAATCTGTGAAGGTTATGTGTCAATAGTCTTTCCAATTCCACTGCTTATTTTTGTTTTTACAAAGCTCTATGCAAGGTCAAGAACATTTTTTTTGTCTTGCACAAAATTTAGTTTAAAACTTATTCACCAGCCTTCTTATAAAAAGTAAAGGGTGAAGAAAGGGGAGTATTATAGCTTTCATTCTTCTTTCATGCACTTCCATGGACTAACTGAGGGTATGTGAAATAAAGTAGGAAATCCTACTAATGGTAGTGGTGCAAACTGTTTTTTTGGAAAAACAACAACAAGGTGAATAGGAAATCTTCAAATTTGAGAAGAATTTGATGTCAGGGTTCCAAGTAACGAAAGAAGACTCCGAGACTTGAGTTTCCTGAAAGTTCCACTTTATTAGAGATATCATACTGGCACACTGGGAAAACCCAAATCTGAAAGTTTCCAGGTTTTTCCCACCCAAATGAAAGTTCAAGTCCCTGCCCAGCACTCACATGTCCATCACATGGTCTAATCGGGCACTGTCCCAACTGGAGATGCCTCCCAGTCACACCACTCCAGGTGCAGGGCAAGACGTCCTTGACTTTGAGAAAGGAATGTCATTTTGACTATATCTATCACACACCATATGGATCCCCCCTCCCAAATTCCCACAGCATTAAATGTGGCAGGTCTGAAGGCCCAACGCAAAAGATGGTTTCGAGGCCTGACATTTGAGTTATTTGGGGGGGGGCAGTGAAGAAAAGATTGAGAGCCACTGATCTAGTCTGAAGAATAGAGAACATTGCTCCATTAGATCTCATAGGAGGACATGATCTAGATTTTCATTGATTACAGAATATCATGTAGTGGCAGTGTTACCTCTAAGCTGTGCGCATGCGCGGCCGCGCAGGTAACAAAAAAACACCACGCACAAGTTTCAAACTACAGCGCAGTGTTTTTTAATATCTTTAAATGTGACTAAAAATATCCCCCCTCCCTCCCTTCTCTCTCTGCACCGAAATCTCTCCTCCATCTGGTGATTGGTGAAATCAAGGAAGACTCTGCCCGGAGATAGATGACGCTGCAGAAGGGAGAATTCCCATTGGTCTTCTAGAGCTTTGTTAGTTCCTGGGGAAAATGGGATTCGCTGGTTGTAGCCTGCGTTTCTCTGCACATCCGGGGTTTCTCAGGCATTGCCTCATCTGAAGCCCCGTTCTGGGCTCAGCCTTTTTTCTGCGATCCCTTTGCTTTGGGGAGAGAGGGAAGCAGCGTAGGATTGGACTACCTGAGCCAAAGGGGTCCACGGGATCTTGAGACTTGATTTTTGAGCAGTACCAATCCTTTCCACTCTTTCTTTTTCCTTTCTGTCCTTCTAACTTCCTTTCTTTTTCCTTTCCTTTCTCTTTGCCTTTCCTTCTTTTCCATTTCCTTTTCTTTCTCCTTTCCTTTCCTTTTCCCTTTCCCTTTCCTTCTTTTCCATTTCTTTTCTTTCTCTTTTCCTTTCCTTCTTTTCCATTTCCTTTCTCTTCCCCTTTCATTTCTCCTTTCCTTCTTTTCCTTTTCCTTTCCTTTTTCCTTTCCTTCTTTTCTATTTCCTTTCTCTTTTCCTTTCCTTTCTCCTTTCTTTTCCTTTTTCCTTTCTTTCTTTTCCATTTCCTTTTCTTGTTCCTTTCCTTTCTCTTTTCCTTTCCTTTCTTCTTTCCCATTTCCTTTCCTTTTTCCTTTCCTTCTTTTCTATTTCCTTTCCTTTTTCCTTTCCTTTTCTTGTTTCCCATTTTCTTTCCTTTCCCTCCCCCTCCCTTCCCTCACTCCCTTCCTGGGGGTCTGAGGGAGAGGGACCCTTTTCCTCCCTGCCCCACTCCCAACATCTGCTCTGATGGCAATTATGGCTAAAAACAATTCAGGTGCTCAGGCATGAAAATGTGCCGCTCGAACACTATACTTTTCCGCACACACTGAAAAAAAATTAGAGGGAACATTGTGTAGTGGGACACAAGAAACATGTTTTGACATGCTATCCTCCTTTTGGAACATCATACCACGCAAGTTTACATTGGCTCTGACCTTGCCAAAGTCTTGGTTATCGTCCAGACAAGGATTCAAGAAGTTAGTGAAGCCTGCATAGTTTGTTACTGTTGGTGATGGGTTACCCTTGGCTGCCAATTTTTGTTTTTATTTTATGCTGAAATAATATAGAGCATGTTATTCTATATTGTTTCTGCATAAAATAAAAATGAAATGTGGCAGACAAGGGTAATCCATCACCCAAAGTAACAAAGGAGAACACCTCCTTCTATGATGGGGTCCTTGATAAGGCAAAGGGGCTTGTGTGGGTAAATGAAATTGTGGGTTATGTTATCAGACATGTCCAGAAGGGCCTCCCAAGGCAAACAGGCCATGATAGATTCCCCAGACTAGCACCGATCACATCTGCCAACCCGCATTGGACCAGAGTGGAAGATTATGGCCTATTCCTTCCACATGCCAATACAACCTCAAAAATGACCCACATTCTCGGGAGCCTTAGGGCAGGGGTGTCAAACTCGTGTTGTCACAGCGGCATGTGACATATCGTGACTTTTTCTCCTTCGCTAAACCGGGCATGGGCGTGACCAGTGCGTGACACATCCAGCTTGCAGGCTGCAAGTTTGACAGCCTGCCCTAGGGCAACTACACATGACAGCGGGAAGACCTACCCAAAGGCAGAGGGTGCTAAAAATTACCAGGTTAAATCAGGCTCCCTTTGGACTTGAAAGTGGAAATACCAGATATCTTAGTGAAGGAAGTATCAAGTGCAATAAAACCAATAAAAAATGGCAAAGCTTCAGGAAATGACTGTTACAGTTGAAATGCTGAAAGCTGGTGGTCAGTTTACACAAGATACTAGCAAAACTATACTTGAGATGCCTCAGAGAGAAAAAAATACCCAATGCATGGAAACATGATAAAGCAATTTTTATACACAAGAAAGGGCCCAAGATGATTTAAAGAACTATTACCCAATAAGCCTACTTTCAGTCATCTAGAAGGCTTTCACCAAGATAATAGCAAAAAGAATATTGAGAACATTAAATGATGTATAGGCAAAGGAACAGGCAGGGTTCAGGAGTAGCTACAGCACAATGGATCACATATAATTGGTAAGCTAAGCATAATTTTTCAGAACAATCTCACCCTATGCCTGAAAGGTTTTCGATTAGTGTGTGCTACCAACTGTTAACATATGCCAGTAAAACATGGATATTAATCTCACAATTAATACAAAAACTAAGAGTGATGCAAAGAGCCATGGAAAGATACATACCAGTGGTGGGTTACAACCAGTACGCCCCGGTACAAGTATACCGGTGCCTGCCGGGAGCACCAGGTACCGTTCCAGTATGATGTTCCGGAGGGCCCACCCGCCTTCTGGCACTGATAGAATCCCACCTCTGATCTTGCCCCATTGAGTGCAGATGGTTAGCCAGATGCAAATCCATCTGAGGGTGATGCTGTTTATCCCACATTTTTTCTAAATATTTTGTTACTTATTATTTATACTGCTGTTTTAAAAATTCTGTTTTCTGTCTAGTGTCACCTTGGTGAGCTTTATAAATTTGAAAAAATTAAATTACGCATTTTTCTCCTGTTTTCTGTAAAAGTAAAGATTTATGTTCCTTTGAAAAATAAAAGCAGAAGATTAACAATGTCTTTTTAAAAAGATATTTTATGAGATGGTCAATATATTGCAGCAGTCCTGTTGCTAACAGGGCAATTCTGGGAAGCCCCTTTCCTTGGTATCCTAACAACTGAACATGTCTTAGCAAAGGAGGTGATGAGATTTGACAAATTTCTTCAAGCACTCAAGCCAGAAGCATACTTCCTAGTTTCTCCAGTTATCAACATATCCAACATACATTTCAAAGTTCACTCTATAGTAAAGATAAAAGGCTATAATTATACACAGCTTATACCGTAATTCTTTTTGCTCTGCCTATCTAGACATTTTTTTTCATATTGA